TGGAAAGAGCATTGGCAGGACCTGGTCTATGTGTTGAGCATCTCCTACAGGTTTGCTCCTTTTAACCCTGTGATGAGGGCAGTGTTGTTGCCATTTTTCAGATGTGGAGACTGAGGCTCAGAGAGAGGTGAAGGGATTTTCCAAGGTAACCCAGGATTTTCCAGGGTCCTGGATAAAGATCACAGTCTGCTCGAAAGTCACCTCCTGTGGGAAAACTGCCCGAGTTTCACGATCCTCACTCACACCCGGGCATTGCCTGTGTCATCGCTCTCCACCCAGCCGCCTCTCCTGTGACTGGGTGGGATAACACCCACCAGCGGGGTGATGCGAGCAGTGCTGGGTGCTGGCGGTGGGGGGCTTTGTGGGTGCTGCGCAGAGGTTGGTGGTGAACCAAGGGCTGCAGGAGCCCTGCAGAAGGACCGGCTGCTCCAGGGGAGAGGAGCAGACAGGCCTTGGGAAGCCACAACGGTTCTGAGACAAGGCAAGAACATCACAGCACAAAGACGCAGAGGCATGGTGGGAATAACCTAGCAATGATTGGGAGGGCTAGTGGGGAGGGTCCCAGAAGACGACAAGAGGACACTTCATTCTGCCAGCAGTGGGGTCCCTGAGGTCTGGAGAGGCCATGCTTAGAACCTCTTTTCCAGGAAAATATCTGGGCCACTGAGTGTGGGACAGATTGGAAACGCTGAGCCTAAAGGTCAGTCCCTTCTTTTAGCAAGATGAGTCTCCAAAATACTCTCTTCTCTGAGAGGTCATCTGCCACCACCTGGGGACACAGAAATAAGTCTCTCTGGTCCTGGCAACTTTTCTCCACTGGCCACCCCCTCGCCTTCCCTCAATCTGGGGATGGCTGCTCCAGCCTTTCCAGCAAACTTGGCCCAGAGGAGGCCACAAAGCCCAACAGGACCAGGGCAAAGAGGGCTGTCCCTGCCCAGGATACACTTTGGACCTGAACTGAGGCCAGGAGGACTCTAGGGGGAAAGAAGGGAAGGGTGGGACCATGTCGCTTGAAGAAAAAGGCCCCAGCCTGGCCCTAATCTCCCTCCCACTGACTTGGTGAGTGAGCTCAGGGAAGCCCCTTGCCCTCAGGGTCTCTGTCACTAAGATGAGGGGAGGATGGGGTGACAACTGCTATGCTGTGGCTGACTCTGGAAGCAGCCACAAGCCACAGCCCAGAACCTGCCTGACTGTGCGCTCTTCCTCCTCCTTTCCTTCCACAAATTTCCATGAAATGCCTGCTCTGTACTAGACTCTGAGCAAGGAACTGTGTCTGCAAAGACAGATTGAAAATATGCCTACTCACCAAAGCATGAGTATATACTGGAAAGCGAGGAAAATGAGCTACAAAAGAGGGTGTCAATTTGTGTGTATATCTTTTGTGGGTGTGTGTATAACAGACCTACAACAACAAACACATTGAATAGAAAACTGGAAAGATATATACAAATCTAACAGTTATTTGAGTGGTGGTGGTATTTCTTTTTTTTTAAAAACATCTTTATTGGAGTATAATTGCTTTACAATGGTGTGTTAGTTTCTGCTATAACAAAGTACAGACCTACAACAACAAACACATTGAATAGAAAACTGGAAAGATATATACAAATCTAACAGTTATTTGAGTGGTGGTGGTATTTCTTTTTTTTTAAAAACATCTTTATTGGAGTATAATTGCTTTACAATGGTGTGTTAGTTTCTGCTGTATAACAAAGTGAATCAACTCTACATATACATATGTCCCCATATCTCTTCCCTCTTGTGTCTCCCCCCAACCCTCAATATCCCACCCCTCTAGGTGGTCACAAAGCACCAAGCTGATCTCCCTGTGCTATGTGGCTGGTTCCCACTAGCTATCTATTTTACATTTGGTAGTGTATATATGTCCATGCCACTCTCTCACTTTGTCCCAGCTTACCCTTCCCCCTCCCCGTGTCCTCAAGTCCATTCTCAACTGAGTCTTTATCCCTGTCCTGCCCCTAGGTTCTTCAGAACCATTTTCTTTTTTTTTTGTTTTAGATTCCATATATATGTGTTAGCATACAGTAGTTGTCTTTCTCTTTCTGACTTACTTCACTCTGTATGACAGTCTCTAGGTCCATCTACCTCACTATAAATAATTCAATTTTGTTTATTTTTCCATTGTATATATGTGCCACATCTTCTTTATCCATTCATCTGTCGATGGACACTTAGGTTGCTTCCGTGTCCTGGCTATTGTAAATAGAGCTACAATGAATATTGTGGTACATGACTCTTTTTGAACTATGGTTTTCTCAGGGTATATGCCCAGTAGTGGGATTGCTGGGTCATATGGTAGTTCTATTTTTAGTTTTTTAAGGAACCTCCATACTGTTCTCCACAGTGGCTGTATCAATTTACATTCCCACCAACAGTGCAAAAGGGTTCCCTTTTCTCAACACCCTCTCCAGCATTCACTGTTTGTAGATTTTTTTCATGATGGCCATTCTGACCAGTGTGAGGTGATACCTCACTGTAGTTTTGATTTGCATTTCTCTAATGATTAGTGATGCTGAGCATCCTTTCATGTGTTTGTTGGCAATCTGTATATCTTCTTTGGAGAAATGTCTATTTAAGTCTTCTGCACATTTTCAGATTGGGTTGTTTGTTTTTTTGATATCGAGCTGCATGAGCTGCTTGTATATTTTGGAGATTAATCCTTTGTCAGTTGCTTCATTTGCAAATATTTTCTCCCATTCTGAGGGTTTTCTTTTCATTTTGTTTATGGTTTCCTTTGCTGTGCAAAAGCTTTTAAGTTTTCATTAGGTCCCATTTGTTTATTTTTGTATTTATTTCCATTTCTCTAGGAGGTGGGTCAAAAAGGATCTTGCTGTGATTTATGTCATACAGTGCTCTGCCTATGTTTTCCTCTAAGACTTTTATAGTGTCTGGACTTACATTTAGGTCCTTAATCCATTTGGAGTTTATTTTTGTGCATGGTGTTAGGGAGTGTTCTAATTTCATTGTTTTACATGTAACTGTCCAGTTTTCCCAGCACCACTTATTGAAGAAGCTGTCCTTTCTCCACTGTATATTCTTGCCTCCTTTATCAAAAATAAGGTGACCATAGGTGTGTGGGTATATCTCTGGGCTTTCTATCCTGCTCCATTCATCTATATTTCTATTTTTGTGTCAGCACCATACTGTCTTGATTACTGTAGCTTTGTAGTATAGTCTGAAGTCAGGGAGTCTGATTCTTCCAGCTCCATTTTTCTTTCTCAAGATTCCTTTGGCTATTCAGGGTCTTTTGTGTTTCCATACAAATTGTGAAATTTTTTGTTCTAGTTCTGTGAAAAATACCAGTGGTACTTTGATAGGGATTGCATTGAATCTGTCGATTGCTTTGGGTAGTATAGTCATTTTCACAACGTTGATTCGTCCAAATCCAAGAACTTGGTATATCTCTCCATCTGTTTGTATCATTAATTTCTTTCAGCAGTGTCTTATAATTTTCTGCATACAGGTCTTTGGTGTCCTTAGGTAGGTTTATTCCTAGGTATTTTATTCTTTTTGTTGCAATGGTAAATGGGAGTGTTTCCTTAATTTCCCTTTCAAATTTTTCAAAATTAGTGTATAGAAATGCAAGAGATTTCTGTGCATTAATTTTGGATCTTGCTACTTTACCAAACTCATTGATTAGCTCAGGTAGTTTTCTGGTAGCGTCTACAGGATTCTCTATGTATAGTATCATGTCATCTGCAAACAGTGACAGTTTCACTTTTCTGATTTGGTTTCCTTTTATTTATTTTTCCTCTCTGACTTCTGTGGCTAAAACTTCCAAAATTATGTTGAATAATAGTGGTAAGAGTAGGCAGCCTTGTCTTGTTCCTGATCTTAGTGGAAATGGTTTCAGTTTTACACCATTGAGAATGATGTTGGCTGTGGGTTTGTCATGTACGGCCTTTATTATGTTGAGGTAAGTTCCCTCTATGCCTACTTTCTGGAAGGTCTTTTATCATAAATGGGTGTTGAATTTTGTCAAAAGCTTTTTCTGCATCTACTGAGATGATCATATGGTTTTTATCCTTCAATTTGCTAATACAGCTTATCACATTGCCTTGATTTACGTATATTGAAGAATCCTTGCATTCCTGGGATAAACCCCACTTGATCATTGTGTATGATCCTTTTAATGTGCTGTTGGATTCTGTTTGCTAGTATTTTGTTGAGGATTTTTGCATCTATGCTCATCAGTGACATTGGCCTGTAGTTCTTTTCCTTTTTTGTGACATCTTTGTCTGGTTTTGGTATCAGGGTGATGGTGGCCTCGTAGAATGAGGTTGGGAGTGTTCCTCCCTCTGCTATATTTTGGAAGAGTTTGAGAAGGATAGGTGTTAGCTCTTCTCTAAGTGTTTGATAGAAGTCGCCTGTGAAGCCATCTGGTTTTGGGCTTTTGTTTGATGGAAGATTTTAAATCACAGTTTCCATTTCAGTGCTTGTGATTGGTCTGTTTCTATTTTCTATTTCTTCCTGGTTCAGTCTCGGAAGGTTGTGCTTTTCTAAGAATTTGTCCATTTCTTCCAGGTTGTCCATTTTATTGGCATAGAGTTGCTTGTAGTAATCTCTCATGGTCCTTTGTACTTCTGCAGTGTCAGTTGTTTCTTCTCCTTTTTCATTTCTAATTCTATTGATTTGAGTCTTTTCCCTTGATTTGAGTCTTCTCCCTTTTTTTCTTGATGAGTCTGGCTAATGGTTTATCAATTTTGTTTATCTTCTCAAAGAACCAGCTTTTAGTTTTATTGATCTTTGCTATTGTTTCCTTCATTTCTTTTTCATTTATTTCTGATCTGATTTTTATGATTTCTTTCCTTCTGCTAACTCTGGGGTTTTTTTGTTCTTCTTTCTCTAATTGCTTGAGGTGCAAGGTTAGGTTGTTTATTCGAGATGTTTCCTGCTTCTTAAGGTTAGGATTGTATTGCTATAAACTTCCCTCTTAGAACTGCTTTTGCTGCATCCTATAGGTTTGGGTGATCGTATTTTCACTGTCATTTGTTTCTAGGTATTTTTTGATTTTCTCTTTGATTTCTTCAGTGATCTCTTGGTTATTTAGTAGTGTATTGTTTAGCCTCCATGTGTTTGTATGTTTTATAGAATTTTTCCTGTAATTGATATCTAGTCTCATAGCATTTTGGTCGGAAAAGATACTTGATACTATTTTAATTTTCTTAAATTTACCAAGGCTTGATTTGTGACCCAAGATATGATCTATCCTGGAGAATTTCCATGAGCACTTGAGAAGAAAGTATATTCTGTTGTTTTTGGATGGAATGTCCTATGAATATCAATTAAGTCCATCTTGTTTAATGTGTCATTCAAAGCTTGTGTTTCTCTATTTTCATTTTGGATGATCTGTCCACTGGTGAAAGTGGGGTGTTAAGTCCCCTACCATGATTGTGTTACTGTCGATTTCCCCTTTTATGGCTGTTAGTATTTCCCTTATGTATTGAGGT